TTGGGTTTCTGAGGCATATCTCTACAGAAGTAGATTGCCCCATCTTCCTTCTGAGGAGTGGCTGGTGGGTTTGAACCAATGTCTTAGGCACTATACCACCAGAGATGGCTAAAGATAGAGGATAATAGACTCAGCCCTGGGTACTACTTACCTAGCCCAGGTATTGGCAGTAATTCCAAAGACAGGTCTTCTCTGGTTTTCCTGCCCACTCTATGGATAGAAGACTGACTTTTTTTTAGGTCTTAGATCAGTGCCTGGAATACGGAAGCTTCTTAAATGGATGAGGAGAGAAGTAAGAAAGGAGGGAGGGTTAAAGGAAAGGAGGAAGGAAGGAAATAGAAGGTCAAGGTAAGCACTGCAAAGAAATTCTCTGCATACATTTAGAATAGATAGAATAGATAATGGAGTTAAATTCCTCTAGCTTAGATGATCTGTAGATAGTCACTCCTGATTGGCATTTAGTGGAAGGTTTGAGGGTGATTCATCTGGAAACCTCATTCCTCTCTTTTGTTCAATTACCTGAAAATATAATTCTTAGAACCAAGAATGAGTCCATCAGCTGAGGTGGCAGAGTTAGTGTGTGATCCTGACTTAGAGTCTTACTGCCACTCCCTATGAGCCAGGATTAACCCCTCAGTCCCTTCACGATGAAGAGTCAGGAATAGTGTTCTCCTGAGGAGTATGCATGGATAGTTAAGGGCAGAACACAGTTAAGCAAAATATCCAGTAAATGTTCTTTCTCTGCCCTCTTGAGTTTGGTCTCCCTAGCCATACTCTGGTGGCGTACTGCCTAAGGCATTTGACTGCTAACCAGAAGGCTGGTGGTTCAAACCCACCAGCCACTGCTCAGAAGGAAGGTTGGACATTCTACTTCTGTAGTGATACTGCCTTGGACACCCAAGGAGGGGTCACTATGAGTCGGATCCGACTCCACAGCAGTATACAACAACAACAAGCCATGCTCTTTGGCACATTACAACCTATTGAACTTCTTTACTGTTCTTGGCCAAATTCTGACTAGCAGGTTGGAGGCTAGAGAGAATTTATGGAGCAATGAAGGAAATGCAGTGTGTGTATGATGAGCATGGTGGGAAGGCGAATAGTAAGATAACAAGACCAGTGGGTATGAGACTGAGGGGCAGAAAGACCCCACCTAGCACACCCAGCGAGGCCACATGTCTCTAGTCTAACACTGGGAACCCACCCTAGTCTGAGACCTCCTATCTGTATGCCCTGAGGCTGATATTGGCAGATCCAAGGAGCATTACTTTGGGGTAGATCATGCTGCACTGAGTCTTTACTGGGAGAGAGCCCACTGTGGGCTCAGTGGGCCTGCCTCAGGGGGGATATCTCCCTTTCTTTCAGCAGAAGCCTCCCAGGCCTTCCTTCACTGAAAATGGCCTCTGAAATGCACATGGCTACCCTCCCCTGCCTGAGTTTGTTCCTGATTCTCTGGAGCTCCACGCCAGGGATCTTGGGCCAAGAATTTCGATTTGGGCATTGCCGAGTACAGGGGGTAGAGCTCCAGAAACTAAGGAAGGCCTTCTGGACCGTGAAGGACACTGTGGTGAGTGCAGTGTTGCTCTGGACCCCGCCACATAGTTACTGCACATTGAGGACAGTATTTTATGATGGTGGAGTCCTTTGCAGCTTGCTAATCATTTTCCTAATCAGAAGGCTGGCGGTTCAAACCCACCAACCACTCCTCAGAAGGAAGGTTGGACAATCCACTTCTGTGATACTGCCTCGGAAACCCACAGAGGGGTTGCTATGAGTTGGGTTCGACTCGACGGCAAAACAACAACAACAACAACAATCATTTTCCTCAATAACAGCTCTGTAAGGTCAGATGGCATCATGAGCCCCATTTTACACACAAGGAAACAGAGGCTCTCAAAGATATGGTTAGTCTATAATAAAGTAAACAGAGACCAAGGGAACTAAAGATGGGAGCCTGATACATCCAGGCTTCATCTATGTTCCATGGGAACATGAGACATCCCCACCCCAGAAGTCACAGACAATCCTTTGAGACTGGCTGAGGTTTTCACCTGCTGCTCTCCCAGGTAGTGTCCACACACAGGCTTTGGCTAAAGGTAGAAAATCTGAGGCTTAACACGACAGCATGTACACTGTGACCATGGATCCTGCTGGGTCTGAAAGGGCTCTGATACGTGCACTCACAAATGCCCTGAACTCCTTAAATGATGATCTAGATACCAGGGGTTAGGGCAAAAGAGGTAGTTTAATGAGGCAGCCTGGGTTTGAGGAAAGTTCCAAACTGAGAGACAGGACACCTGGGTATGATCTTGACTTTGAAAGGAACCTGGGTGGTAGCTCCTCCACCCACCCCCAAATTCAGTTTCCTTAGTTGCACAAAGAGGAGGTGAGACAAATGGGCTTTAAGCTCCTTCCTCTCAAGGATTCTTTGACTCTAAGCCCTAGGGCTGGAATGAGTAGTTGGGCTGCAGAGAAGCTCCAAGGATGAGAGGCAGCTCAGAGGTGCAGCCCACCACCACCTGTGGAATATGGAGGTTAGATCCTGCCCTTAAGGGTTCTTAAAGTAAATAGACATATCCTCTTAGTCTCAAATGGGGCGCTCTGGTAGCATAATGCCTAAGGCATTTGACTGCTAACCAGAAGGCTGGTGGTTCAAACTCACTAGCCACTCCTCAGAAGGAAGGTTGGGCAATCTACTTCTGAAGTGATACTGCCTTGGAAACCCAAGGAGGAGTCTCTGAGTTGGATCCTACTCAATGGCAGTGAGTTGAGTCTCGAAGGACCAAGGGATACAAACAGGTCCACATTCAGACTCTGAAGAGCTCCTGGGATTGCATTTTCTCTTAGGGTCAATCTTTGTGGTTTTCTCTGGCTGGAAACTTGTACACTCTCCCCAAGGGCTGGCACAGCACAGCCCTCCTTGGGTCTTCATTTGCTCCCTCTGTCCTCTGAAATATCACAGACTAGATGAATTTAGGGGTCTGAGGAAGCAACACATGTGTGAAGGGTTGGTTTCCATAGTAACCCCCAATCTAGAGACATCTTTTCTTTCTGTTCCCTCAGCAAGCTCAGGACCACAACACAAGTGTACGACTGCTGCGGAAGGAGATTCTACAGAATGTCTCGGTAATCAGACCTGAGGGAGGATGACACATCTCTGTATAACTGGTGCACCCACAGCTGTGTATCTGTGGGTGGAGCTTGCCTAGGGGAGGCTGATAAAAGCCCTCACTTCTGCCCTGAACTGACACTACATAAGACAACACTGGGCAGTTAACCAGGGAATTCAATTTCTGGGGTTATCACTATGTGCTATGTATATACAGTGTCATGGAGATTAAGGCTGGTAAACATCTTTGTCAATTTAGCCAGAGAGTTAACATCAATCTTTATTTCTCTTCTGCTTGCCAGTGGGTGTCTGCTTAGGTCCACCTTCCTTCTCTTCCACTTGTATACTTTTCTTTGCTCCTTACTGTCTTTCTTATTACCCATCAAAAAGAAGTTCTACTGGCATAGTAGGAGCTCTGGTAGCATAGTGCCTAAGGCACTTGACTGCTAACCAGAAGGTTGGCGGTTCAAACCCACCAGCCACTCCTCGGAAGGAAGGTTGGGCAATCCTACTTCCATAGTGATACTGCCTTGGAAACCCAAGGAGGGGTCGCTATGAGTCGGGGCCGACTCGACGGCATATAACAACAACAACAACAACAACTGACATAGTGGCTAAGACATTTGGCTGCTAACCAGAAGGTTGGTAGTTCAAACCCACCAGCTGTACTGAAGGAGGCAATCTACTTCCATAAAGATTTATAACCTTAGAAACCCAATGGAGGTCTCCTGTGAGTTGGAATTGACTTCATGGTAATGGGTTTTGGTTTTTTGTTTTGTTTTGTTTTGTTTTACCCATTTAGTCAGTTAGTGAAGGAGCTCTGGTGGTGCAGTGCCTAAGTAAGGCATTTTTGACTGGTAACTAGAAGGTGTGCAGTTCCATCTATTTCTGTAAAGTTTTCCCGCTTTGGAAACCCAATGAGGGCAGCTAAGAGTCAAAATCAACTCGATGGCAGTGAGTTTGGTTTGTTTGGTTTTAGTCAGTCAGTGAGTACCAATGTACTGATCACTGAAAGGCACCAAGCTTCACACAGCAGAGCTTGAGAGAACCAGAGAGTAATCCCTGTGTTTCTAGGACATTAGTTTTGTTTTCTCTGCATTTCTTTTTCTTCCAGTCCTTTCTCCACCAACTCTCAACCACCAAGTTCCAGGTCCTTCTCAGGGTCCATCACAGCTCCCCACAGCATGCCCTCCCCATAGCTATTAGAGAGGCAGAGTGGAATGGGGGGGTGGGGAAGTAACTAAGTGAGAATTCAGGAGTACTGGGAGCTGGGCCTATGCCTGTCACTGACCGGCTGTGGGACCCTGGGCGAGTCACTTCCTCTCTCTGGGCCTGGTGCTTCTCCAGGCACTACTCCATGTGGTACTCAAGTCTTCAGATCATACGTTTATCATCATCACCTAGACCTCTGGACTAGGAGTGGATTATTTAATAAGTAAGGTAAGCATGAGCTTACTTGTGCTTACTTACTAATCTGCAGTGAACAGTTTCACATGGCATGTGGTAAAAAACATGGTGAAAAACTGTTCACTAGAGATTAGTAAGTAAGCACAAGTAAGCCCATGCTTTCCTTGCTTATTGGGTAGTCCAACACTACTCTTGACTATAGAGTTTATCTTGCCCTATATGGCATATGGGTTGTTCATCCCAGGGCCAGAGGGTGGGGTGGGCAGAGGGATCCATAGTTACCCAGACTTTCTTCAGGATGCCGAAAGCTGTTACTTCATCCGTTCTCTGCTGAAATTTTACTTGAAAACTGTTTTCAAGAATTACTACAACAAGACAACTGAACTCCAGATCCTACGGTCATTTTCTACTCTTACCAACAACTTTATTGTCATCATATCAAAACTGCAACCCAGTGTGAGTAGAAAAAAGCCAGGACTTTTTTCATGGGAAAAAATTGTTTTGAGAATTCTACCCTCCTGTTATCAGAGCTTGGCTGTCATTCCACAACGGGGAGTCATGGGGTGTCCTGGAAAAGAGAACAAGTTTTGTAGACCAATAGTTCTGGGCTCAAGTCTAGGTCTGCTTCTAATTAACAGGGTGACTCTTCTCAAGGTGGTCTCTGAACATCAGTTTTCTTATCTGTAAAATGGGGATATCTTCCCTATTTTACAGGATTATAAGGAGCTCTGGTGGTGCAGTGCCTCAGGTATTTGACTGTTAAGCAGAAGGTTGGTAGTTCAAACCCACCAGCCACTCTACGGAAGGAAGGCTGGGCAATCTAATTCCGTAAAGATTTACCACCTCAGAAAACTGATGGGGGTTACTATGAGTCGGAATCGACTTCATGGCAGTGAGGTTTTTTTTTTGTTTGTTTGATTTTTTTTTTTTTTTTTTTTTTTGGTTTACAGGATTACTGTGAGAATTAAAGTGGCCATGTCTGCCACCTTGTAAGAGTTTGAATCCTTCTGGAATCACAAGGAATGACAGTGAGGAGGCTTACCTCTTCTCCTACCCAACATTAGGCACAACTTCTTTATTTTCTGTTTCCAGGAAGAAAATGAGATGTTCTCCATCATTGAAAGTGCACATAGGCAGTTTCTGCACTTCCAGGGAGCATTTAAACAGGTAATCAAGGCCTGGAGCTGCACGCTTGCCCAGATCAGGCTGACCTGTCAAGGGAGGGTGCCTCAGAGGCCTGATGCAGAATTAATGCAGCACTTGCCCAAAAGCCACCTGAATTAGCAAGACCACAGTATCGATAAGCATGTTGTTGTTGTGATTAGATGCCATTGAGTCAGTTCATAGAAACTCTATGTACAACAGAACAAAACACTGCCCGGTCCTGCACCATTCTCACAATCATTGCTATGCTTGAGTCTATTGTAGAAGCCACTGTGTCAATTCTCATTGAAGGTTTTCCCCTTTTTTGCTGATCCTCCACTTTACCCTGCATGATATTCTTCTCTAGGGTAGGGACTGGTCCCTTCTGACAACATGAGGAAAGTATGAGAGACAAAGTCTGGCCATTCTTGCTTCTAATCGACATTCTGGCTGTACTTCCTCCAAGACAGATTTGTTCACTCTTCATGACATGTTCAATATTCTTCGCCAACACAACTCAAAAGCACCAATTCTGCATTGTTTCTTATTTATTGTCTAGCTCTCTAATGCATATAAAGCTATTGAAAAATACCATGGCTTGGGTCAGGCACACCTTATCTTCAAAGTGAGATCTTTACTCTTTAATACTTTAAAGAGATCTTTTACAGCATATTTGTCTGGTGCAATATGTTGCCCTTTCATTTCTTGACTGCTGTTTCCATGAGCACCACAAACTAAGTAGTATCTTTCTGTCAATTTTCAAGTTAAAATGCTATTCTATATCCCTATAAGGTGATTCCAGGGGTTCTGGGTGGTGCAGTTAACATGCTTGGCTGCTAATTGAAAGGTGTGGTACTCAAGTCCACCCAGAGCTACCTTGGAAGGATGGTCTGGCAATTCACTTCTGAAAAACCAGTCATTGAAAAGTCTGTGGTGTACAGATCTACTCTGACACACATGAGGTTATCATGAGTCAGAATCAGCTCAATCAAATAGTGTTTTCACTACTGAGGACTTTCTCTGAAAAAGAGTTTTATGGGTACTTGAGCTAGGAAGTTGGAGTCAGAAGTGAAGGAGAAAGCAGGGAGACATCCCTCCATGCATACCCATAGGATTTTTCATAATGCTCAAACGGCCTAGTTTAGAAAGAAAATTTGGGAAAATTTTATTACCTTTACCTGAATTAAGATAACAAAGAAAATCCAAATTTCATTCCCAGCCGCCTAAAACATCATATATGAGTTTGATCATCTTTTGTGAGGGACGATATATCAGCGTATCAATAAATGATCAAGAGCAATAACATTTGATGAAAAGGGACCACTATGGCCCTCAGTTTCTTTATCTGCACAGTGGGCTCAGGTGGTAGATTCTATGGTCACAATAGGATTTAATGGTTCTTGGTATAAGGGGCTCCATATGCTTTTTCCCTTATCCCTACCCCCTGCCTAGTCACAGACTCATTTGTCCTCACTCCTAAAACAGACAACACACACAGATGGAGGATATGGAAATGGGCAGGTGAGTTTATCAGTTGTTGTTGTTGTTGTTTGCCGTCGTTGAGTGAGGCCTGATTCATAGTGACCCCTCCTTGGGTTTCTGAGGCAGTATCAATACAGAAGTAGATTGCCCATGAGTTTATCAGAGGCCACCTCAAATGTGACCCAGTCAGCTTATGGTTTGGAGTCAGACCTGTCTCTGGGCCAGCAAGGGGGAAGTAATCCATTCTTGTAGCTAACACAGCAGACCTTCATCTCTCCATTCCCTGCAGTTGGACACAGATGCAGCTCTGACTAAAGCCATCGGGGAAATGGACATTCTCTTGACCTGGATGGAGAAATACTACCAGCGTTGAATGAATGTGTAGACCAGGACAACTTCCTCAGCTCCGTGTCATTTCAAATGTGTGTCCCTTCCTGTGCTGCTCTCTGGGGAACTTCACACCCTCGACCTTAGGCCAATTTTTGGCCCAGGCTTGTCCTCAAACACCTCCTTCTTTAAGTGGTCCCACCAACAGCTATGGTAGGCTCCCTTGGATGCTGTGAACAACCCACAAAGCAGATTCCTATATTTATTACAACTCTATTTAATTACATCAGTGTTTTAATTGATGTTATATTTATTTGTGAGACCGTAAGTTCTATCAAGGCAGCAGGGGTAGTCCTTATGCTTCTTGACTGCATCCCCACAATACCTGTGGGGCATTGGGTGGGGTGTTCAGTAAATAACAAATTGCATTTTCTGCCTCGTTTGTGAATTATTGAGGAGCAATGAGGGATTCTGGGATAGGAACTTAAATTTAGGACATGGAAGCCACATTGTCTTGATGTGGACAGAGCCCCAGGGTCAGGGTGGGGCTACTGGATTGAGATGTGAAAGATTAACAGACATAATGTAGCTTAAAGTGCCTGGCACGAAGCAAGCTCCCACTGAACACTGCATTCCCTGCCTGTACTCCCCACTCCTCCCCTCCACCCCATTCCCTTGGATGTCCTCCTTTTCTTATCCTACTTATTCTTTCCTTATCTGCCCCTTGAGAGGGTGCCAGTATCAAAGTGACATTGCTGATGTTGTTCCTGTACCTGGAGGTATTTTCCAATCTGTAAAGACATCTCTTGCTGATAAAAGGCGGTCTGGCAGTCTTTCCTTTCTGTTTTTGGACAGGTGCCCAGTGAGGCTGAGTTGTTTGTCTAGGAAAGGCCTCCTTCCTAATAGTCAGACTCAGCACTCTCTCTTCTCAATCTCAGGCTGAACTTGTGGTTGACTGAAATCCAAAGATAGAGTATCTCACTGTGACCTTGCTCTGAAAACCCCAAATGGAAAGTGTGTATGTAGGAGGTGGGATGTCTCTTCTACCTGGAAGGAAATGCGATTGCAGAGTCCCAGGCCCTCCAGGAACCCCAAACTGATATCAGTTACCTCCCCACCTTGATATCAGTTACCTAGAACTGGCAGAAAGATGAGTTGTATTTCTGAAAATAGAGAAGTGTAATGATTTTGGACAAAGGGGTGCTGGAACAGACCCAAGTTAAGATGTTAAGATACATGTACAAAGATCCGTTCTGGGCTACGTGTGAGGGATAAAGAGATGACAAAGACTATGTCTAAAAGAGGTGAAATACTGGGGGCAGGGCCCTTGTGTGCATGAAGGCACGGTAACTTGGAGTGAAGAGGATTTATATAGAGAAGTTATCTGCTTCTTAATCCTGGGCCTAACTTTGATGTAGCTTGGCTTTCATTAACCAGGAAACTGATGGGGGAACCAATAATGCTAAATGCATTGAGGACTAACAACAAGCACGGTTCTGAAAATTTAGAATCCTTTGTTACATCAAAATCATTTGCCCTTTCCAGAGGACTCAACAGAAGTGGAAAGCTCACTAGCAAGGGCCAGGCTTAGAATCAGGGTAAGCACGTTCCCAGGGTTGTTTCCATAGCAGCCTCCTTCCTAGCTTCTCGGGCAGAGGCATGTCCCCGTGCCCACCCACCAGACCCACTGCTGCTGAGTCAATTCTGACTCATAGCAATCCTATAGGACAGAGAACTGTCCTATACAGTTCCCAAAATTGTAAATTTTTATGGAAGCAGACTGCCACGTTTTTCTCCCACAGAAACAGCTGGTGAGTTCTAACTGCAAACCTTTCAGTTAACAGCCAAAGCTTTAACCACTGCACCACCAGGGCTCCGTGAAGCAGCCTCAAAAACCAAACCAAATTCACTGCCATTGACTGGATTCTGATTCAGCGACACTACCCCCCCCCACACACACACACACACAGACCCCGTTGAGTTTCCAAGGCTGTAAATATTTACGGAAGCAGACTGCCTCATCTTTCTTCCACAGAGCCGCTGGTGGGTTTGAACTATTGACCTTTATAGTTAGCAGCCAAATGCCTTAACCATTACACCACCAGAGTTCCTTCTGAAGCAGCCTAGGGTCTTCTATTTGCCTGGGAAGGGCTCCTGAAGCAACAGCTGTGTCTATGCTCCAGCCTAATACCATGTAGTCTAGAGCTAGGTAGAAGGGCCCTATGATCTAGGAAGTTTAGGAAACACTCTGCAAATCCTGTAGCCTGGAAAGGAAGTAGATGGCATCAGGACAAATGCCCTGCATGCCCAGAGCCCACATGACAACCACAGGTGACTGCAAAGGTGTGTAAGAGGAGCTGGGGGCAGAGTTACTCAGGGCAGACGGATTGGGGAACAGTGTTGACATGGGCAGTAGGAAGTGATGGGGGCTCTGAGAACTGATGGAATAGGTGTTGGGACTCAGCAGGCAGATGAGACTCATGGGCACAAAGGCCCGGGCCTGGGAGCACAGCTGGGGAGATGAGTCAGGAAAGGAATATTGACATAGTCATCTGAATCAGCATCCTCTGTCTTGGCAGGAGGCTGGTGGTAGCAGCTCACATATTCACAGTCGGTCTTCAGGGGCGGGTCATGGAACCAGGGAGCTTCAGGCACCTGGGAACAACCAAGGAAGCATCAGTAGATCTGGGCAAGGTAATTTTAGTATCTGTCCAGGCAGAGATCAGCACAGTGGACAATGGGGGCATATGCCTGGTTGCTGACTTCCCGAAGGCAAACACACAGAGGTGGCTGAGTTCCAACAAGTGGTCCAGCCCTGAGAATTTTTGGGGTGGCATCTCACAGTAGATCTAATGTGGGCAGGAAATGCCCTAAATGGATGGGGTGCAGGCTACAATCATGTGGCTCAGCACTGGTCAGAAGGAGTTTCCCCTTGGGGATTAGATGAGGTGATTTGTGGAACAAATATGCATCTCCTAAGGAGTGATGTAGAAGTAGGTGAGTCATCCCCTGCACCCCTGTAATGGCTAAGAGAGGCTGTGATGTGGCATGACAGTGCATTCCTGGAAGGGGCTGGGTGGTGACTGGGAAGAAGACAGCAGGCCATGTTGGGAGAGTGGTGCTTCTCTCCCTAAACAGAGACTTCAGGATCTTCTGCCTTCAGAATGGTCAGTTCTGAGAGGACAGAGCTGTACCAATGACTCTGACATGGCACAATTATTGTAACATCCACCAAAGAAGGCTGCATGCTCTGCAGTCACATATTTAAACACAAGCACTGAAAGGTGAATCTATCCCCTGAACATAGCAGGCACTCGGTAAGTGCTTGTGGAAAAGAGCTTTTGCTTTTTTATACTTTACCAAAGGGGAAAGCAGCAGCAGCTTGCTTACAAAATATCTCCCACTGCCTGTTACAGCTCATCATTTGAGATGATGAACTTACTTGATATTTAATCATTTAAGATTAAAATGCTCCTTGTGAAGCAGGGTTTTGAACTGATTTATTCCAGTGCAATCCCCTGCTGAGAATTTGCATTTCCACCTGGGATATATACTGAATTCCAATCTACATTTTAACAAGATCTATAAGAATCATCTTCAGATCTTGTTAAAATGCAGATTTGGATTGAGTGTATCTGGGGTGGAAATGAAAATTCTCAGCAGGGGGTTGAACCAGAATGAACTGGTTTGAAGCCCTGCTGTGAAGGCTAAATATTCAGTCATCAATCTTTTGTACCTTATTGTAAACTGGTTTCATCAGTTACCTTTCACCTGTCCCTAATAGTTGGAATGAGTTTTTCGGGCAGGGAGGGAACAGGGTAAGATTTTAGTGGGTGAGGTCTGTGTGGTCACAGGCAGTTCAAGGGAAAAGAGCTGGTGTAAGGGTGGAGCAGATGAAGGCCAGGCCTGGGATGAGGGGAGGGACCATTTCAGCACCTTCAATATTTAGCACCAACTCTGTTGTTAGGTGCTGTGGAGTCAATTCTGACTCGCAGTGACCCCATGTAACAGAGTAGAACTGCGCATAGGGTTTCTCAGGCTGTAATCTTTACAGAGCAGACCATCAGTTCTATCTCCTGTGGGGTCTCTGGGTGAGTTTGAACCACCTTTCAGTTAGCAGTGGAGTGTTTAACTGTTGCACCATCAGGGTTCCTTCCAGAATACTGAATTTGAGTATCAAGGATGGCCAGAGGTTTTGGCAAAAAATTTATTAACAAAGAGATAGAATCTTTCAAGGAAAAAGTCTGAGCAGTGGACAAGCCAGAGTCATGGATATTGCTGGCAGGACTATTCCTGGCTAGTGTGAACCTTGTCCAGCAAGAATGGGTGAGAGCAAGTTCAAGAAGCTGGAGGTGACTTTGGCAGAACTGCTAATTGTTACTGGGTATCCCTCTCTCTTTTTAGCAAGAAACATAATTGCACAGCCAAAGACGTCATTGTTCAGCCGCCCTTGAAGACAGCTGTGGTCACATGACTAAGTTCTGGCCAATGGAATATAAGTGGAAGTGATGTGGTTAAAGGGCTCAGCTGCTAAAGGAAAGGTCAGCAGTTCCAACCCATTAGCCGCTCTTCAGGAGACAGATGAAGTAATCTGCTTTCTTAAAGATTTCCAGCCTTGGAGACCCTATGGGTCAATTCTACTCTATCCTACAGGGTTGCTATGAGTTGGAATTGACTTGATGGCAAAGGATTTGAATTTTTGTTTGCTTGTTTGTTTGTTCTTAAAGAAGCAGCTTTGAATTATGGTGTTGGGGAAGAATACTGAAAACACCATGGACTGCTGGAAGAACAAACAATCTCTCCTAGAAGAAGTACAGCTGGAATGCTCCTTGGAAGTGAGAATGGCCAGACTTTATCTCACGTACTTGGGTCACGTTGTCAGAGGGACCATTCCCTGGAGAAAAATATCATGCTTGGGACAGTAGATGGTCAGCAAAAAAAGGGGAAGGGCTTCAACCAGATGGATTGACACAGTGGCTGCAACAATGGGCTCAAGCATAGCATATGTTGTTCATAGGGTCACTATGAGTAGAAACCAACTCCACAGCACAACACCTAACAACAACAACAAAGAAGCATATGTTTGTCCTTCACATTTTCTTTCTCCCTCCTATGGGTTGGGATGTGGACAGGTGCTAGTGATTGAGCTTTGACCATGGACCAAGCAAGACTCCAGCATATCATGGAGCAAGACAGAAGGAATCTCAGTCTCTGGATGACCTCATGGAGTAGGTCACCCTCTTACCCCCTCCCGTCTCTGCCTCTGGATCTTTACCTGAGAGGAAAATAGACTTCCATCTCGTAAACCCTGCATTTTGAGGTCTATTGTAATAGTTTAGTCTATACCTTAACTATGAGGCATTGTTCATTCTCGCCTTCCACATGGGAGACTCAAGTTTGATTCTCCACCAATGTACCACATATGCAGATATGTGTGTATGTGCAGCCACCATCTGTCTGTCAGTGGAGGCTTTTGTGTTGCTATGATGCTGAACAGGTTTCAGAAGAGCTTCTACATGAAGATGGGCTAGAAAGAAAGGCCAGGCAACCTCCTTCTGAAAATCAGCCAATGGGTCACAATGACCCAACCTGCAACCAATCAAGGCACAATAACAACACCTTAATCAAAACAAGGAGTTTGACACTTTTTTTTTTTTTTTTTTTTCCTGGTTCCTGAAATAATAGTGTTTTTGCCACTGTGGGCTACTTTAGAGGGAGAAAAAAAAAAGTTCTTTTTCTTAATTTGTAAAAACAAAGACAAATGGATAGTTAAAGGCTTTTTACCAATCCACCAACAGCCATTGATAGAAAAATGGGTTCTCTATGTCTATTCCTGGGAGTTCTGGTAGCGTAGTGTCTAAGGCACTTGACTGCTAACCAGAAGGCTGGTGGTTCAAACCCACCAGCCACTCCTCGAACGGAAGGTTGGGCAATCTACATCCGTAGTGATATTGCCTCGGAAACCTAAGGAGGGGTAGCTATGAGTCCACGGCACATAACATGTCCATTCCTAGACTTAAAGAGGACTTCCTCTACCTGACGCAAATCCAGAGATTTGCATCTCTGCGAAGGCATCATCTAGGCCAGACTTGACTATGTCAGTGATGGATAAATGACCTCCTCTCATCTTAGAGAATTTATTACAAAGTTCTCCCTTATATTACAGTGAAACTGAATGGGTAGCCTCCATTCCCTTAGGACCTCCTACAGTGTAAGTTTTTGGCATTAAAGTCCTTCCTATATTTGTAGCCTTACCATCTATCATCCCCTATCAAGCTACTGGCATCGATACATATTTATCCCACGAGAACTGCATGGCTAAAAGCCATATACCTAAGTTTATCACAATTCCTTAGTAGGCAGTCTACTGACACCATCAAAGGAAGGAACTGGTAACAACTTGTTTGCTGGGCTCAAGGCCCAGAACCTGCTGGGAAAGTCGGAGCCCTGCAGCTAAACTATGCTGGAGTAAAAGCGCTCGGGTCACCGCCCACGTCTGAGGCCGCCTGCCACTCAAGGGAAGGGGCGGAACTTACCTGGGGCTGGGCGGTGGGCTGGGGTGATCCTGTGGCTGGGAGAGGTGTCGGCGCCGAACCTAAGGGGGACCGGGAAAGCAGAGATGAAAGCATACCCTAGGGGCCCAGCATTACCCGCACTTCTAGCTAGATTCTTCCGGAAACGCTAGGAAAGGCAAGCGAGCAGGGCAGTGCCGGGCTTTCCCGAGAGCCGCGGGGCAGAGTGTGGGGCACACCCTCGGGCCGGATGCGTCGGTTCCTGCAGCCCGCCCGCCAGCGCTGCTCGCTCGCGCACTCGCTCACTTGCAGTGTGTTCTCCCCGAGCTCTCTGCGGGCAGGCGCTGTAGATGTTTTGGGAACGCTGCCGCTGCGACACTCGAAGCCACTGCGAAGACCGGGGCCGCTGGGAGGCCTCTAGGGCGCGCAGCCTAATCGCCAGACGACGGACCCTCCTGGAGAGGACTTCTCCGCAAAGCCACAGGCAGGGAGGGAGGAAAATGGTGTCAAGAGTTCTGTGGCTACCCCCTCCCCACACTCGCGCTTAAAATGCTAAAGTAGTCCCCTTCCCCTAGACATGTCAGTGTCTGACTTGAAGATGCTCAGAAGTGTGCAGAATGTATGAGGTGGCTCTCCCCTACACGGAAGACTAAAACGTCCAGGCCACTTTCCACGCGTCCCCATTTGCAAGCCATCGGGCCCCATCTCCCTTCCTTACACCTAACTGCTCACCCATCGCTTCCTGAGTTTCCCTGGCGTGCTGGGAAAGTGGGTATCCGAATGTCCTGGGCCTGATGGGCAGCTCAGCTCTCCCTGCGGAGCCCTGAGTCCTGGTGCTCACCTTTCCTCCTTTGAATGGCCCTTTTCACCACCATCCCCAGAAGTGCCAGGAGCATAAGACCCAGGATGGTGGGGATCAGGATGTGAAATCCTTGGTCCTCATAAGGAGATGACCCATAGTTGAAGGCTCTGAGGAGAAAAGGAAAGGAAGCAAGGAAGATAGTACTCTTGAATGGACAACATTTTTGCAAACTGTCTCACAGATTTGCCCCTTTGTGTTAAGAATCCACTCCCATCTCCCTCCCTCCCCAAAAAAGCTTTGTCTAGGGAATTAGGAAATCTGGGTCCAAATTCAGATTCTGCCTTTTACTGGCTGAGTGAGCTTGAAAAACCAGCTCTTCTGAGCCTTACCAGAAACGAAAACCAAACTCACTGCCATCAAGTTGGAGCCGACTCATAGTGACCCCTCCTTGGGTTTCCAAGGTGGTGTCACTATGGAAGTAGATTGCCCAACCTTCCTTCCGAGGAGTGGCTGGTGAATTTGAATCACCAGCCTTCTGGTTAGCAGTCAAATGCCTTAGGCACTACACCAACAAATGGAGATAGTACAACCTGTATCCCAAAACTGTTATGAGGATGAAGTAAAATAACAAATAAAAAGAACTCAATGCACATGGTCTGTGCCAGTTGCTGTGTGTCAGAGTAGACTGTGTTCCACGCACGGTTTTCAATGGCTGATTTTTCGAAAGTACATCCCCAAGCCTTTCTCCAGAGGTTCGTTCATCTAGGTGGAGTCCAACCTTCAGTCTCCTTCCTTTCAGTTAATAGGGGTCCAGGTACTCCACACCTGGTCTGAAGCAGGGCTACATGAATGTCAGTTTTCCTCTCAACTTTCTGCACCTCAGTTTCCTCATAAGATTATTGCCAGGTATTAAATGACTTAATACTCATCCACAGTTTGCTTCTTGTAACTGTACTGTCTGTTGAAAAGAGGTTGTTTTTCTCGTGGTGTTTCTTCTACCTGGAAGATCTTCCTCCATCTTCTCTATGCATTGAACTCTTACATTCCTTAAAGACCAATGTAAAAGTCCTCTTTTCTTCCCCAATCATAGTAAAGCCAGAATCAATTTGTGTGTGTGTGTGTGCTCTGTTTTCTCAATTTTGTATTCAACCCATCACAAGTCTTACTGTAGTTAGACTCCCATTAGTTAGTGAGACCTGGATTATTTTTCATGGTGTCATCTTTTTACATCTTTAAGATATAGCACAGTGCCTAGTACATAGTGGAGACTCAGAAAATTTTTGTTGCATTGCTTTAACTACTGGTAGGATGATGTGACTTAATGAACTAGGATACAAGAGTCCTGTGGTGTAGGCGTAGTGCCTAAGGCATTTGACTGCTAACCAGAAGGTTGGTGGTTCAAACCCACCAGCCACTCTGCAGAAGGAAGACTGGGCAATGTACTTCCTTAAAGACTTACTGCCTCGGAAACCCAAAAGAGGTCACTATGAGTCAGAATCAACTGGATAGCAATGAGTTTCTTTCTTTCTTTCTTTTTTTTTTTTTTTTAGACCTTTCCTGTGACATGTTGGGTAAGGCATTTGGTTGCTAACAAGAAAATTGCCGGATTCTGTGGGAGAAAGATGAGGTAATCTACTTCTGTACGGATTTACAGCCTTGGAAACCCAGTGGGGGTCATTATGAGTCGGAATCAACTCAGTGGCAGTGGGTTTGAGTTTGGTACTTCTTCTGTTCTTGATTTCATTATCTATAAAACCCAAGTGATTTTGAAGGTCCCTAACATGTTTGTTTTTTGCTAAGCAAAAATAATTCCAATTATAGTGTTTTGGGGGAAGTCATTGATAATGCTGCCCCCTAGCGGTCAGTTTTAGCACTTTCCTGAACTACACCCAACCTTTAGACCAGTGCTGTCTAATAGAAAAACAATGTGGGTCATATATGTAATTAAAATTTTTCTAGATGGCACATTAAAATTGGTTTTAAATATAACCAGGACTTCTGTTTACTGATTCAGGAAATAGGTGAAAGGGAAAGTAATTTTAATAAAAAATCTTATTTAGCTTAATTCATCTAAACTACTATCATTTCTACATATAATTTATAGAAAACTTATACTGAGACACAGAACAATCTTTTTTTCTCATACTAAGTCTTTAAAATCTGGATCTCAATTCAGACGAGCCGCATTTCATTTGTTCAGTGCCATATGTAGTTCCTGGCTGCCATACGGGACAGCACAGCTGTACATCAACAGATCTCAATTCTGACTGCATTTGGAATCACTTAGAGAGTTTAGAAAAATATCATTCCTGGGCTCCATTTTTGAGCATCTGATTAAATTGATCTGCAGTGACTTAGCCATCAGTTGTTTTCTTTTTCTTAAAATTCTCCCCAACCAAAAGCAAACCCACTGCTGCCTAGTTGGTTCTGACTCATAGAGACCCTATAGGACATATCAGAACTTCCCCAGAAGGTTTCCAAGGCTGTAAATATTTACAAAAGCAGACTGCTTCATCTTTCTTCCATAGAGCAACTGGTGGATTCAAACCACCAACCATATGGTTTGTAGCCAAATGCTTTAACCACTCTACCAGCAGAGCTCCTTAAAAATTCTTCCAGGAAACATTTATATATGGAAGGACACTTTCTTTGTTGGTTACCAGGGTGGGAGGGGAGGAGAGGAAACACTGTAAAAATTTACAAAATAAATTAAAATCAAATAAAATCTTAAAAAAAAAAATTCTCCCAAGGTAATTCTAATAACAACATGTAACACTTAGTACTTGTAAATGTCAAGCACTTGTTCTAACTCATTAATCCTCACAATGGTCCTATGAGGTGACAAATGAAGAAAGTGACACAGTGGTTAAGTGAACTTCCAGGTGAGAGCACTAGATGGTATCAGCTTGGGTGTCAGTGCCATACTCTTAAGTATTATAATACTACAGTCAGTGCGGAAGCTACACATATGGAAAGGGCCACTTTGTGCCATAAATTGTAAAAGTTAAGTGGTTTAAAAAAACAACCACCAAACTTTTTATTGTGATTTGGGTGAAAGTTTACAAAGCAGATTTGTTTTACATCTTGTTTGGCTGAGAGTTAAGTCACAGGAGTGAATTCAATTCCAGGCCTAAAGGGTGACTTGGGGCTATAGTATCAGGAGTTTCACCAGTTTCTATCAGACCAGTAAGCCTGGACTTTTTTTTTTTTCAGTTGTTTTTATTTTTAATGATTTTGAGTTTTTGCTCCACATTTTTCTCCCACTCTATACAGGATCTCCAATTTTGACCCTTTCCGAGTGGTTGGCATTGGTAGCCAGGCACCATCTAGTTCTTCTGTTCTCAGGGTCATATAGGCTGAGGTTCTCATGGCCTGTTAGTCCTTTGGGCTAACAGTTTCCATGTGCCTTTGATTTTCTTCAGCCTTCTTTGCTTCAGATGAGGAGAGAGCAATTGTTGCATCTTAGATGACCACTCACAAGCTTTTAGGACCTCAGTTGTTACTCACTGAAGTAAGATGTAGAACAATATTTTTGTATATACTATGTTGTGACAATTGAGCTTGATGTCTTCTGCAACCATGATCCCCAGCCTACAGGCCCAGGGACTCACTCCCTCAAGGTGCTTGGTTGTAGTTAAGAAGTTATTCTAAATTTGCCTCCTGTTAGTTTTAAACTACACATGGACATTTTTATACCACATACAAATACATATGTAGAAATATCATGTGCCAAAGCTATGTATGGTGGTGGGTATATTCCCACTCACCTATCCATGTCTGATCTTCTTGCTTACCTACCTATGTATGCACCCATAGATTAGTGTTTGCTGTTACTGATAATGCAGTATTTTGTATGCAATAGTATTTGCCTTTATTGTACGTATGTCTTATGTACCTCTCATGTCTTCCTTTTCCTTAGGGATATTGTTCTACTTACATGCTTTTGTTGTATTGCTTTTCCTTTCACCCATATCAAACCTGTCTCTTAATTATCCATCTGTTTTCTCTCCCTTCCCCTCCTCTCTCATTCCTGGTAACCAACAAAGAAAATTTCCTTCCCTGTGTAAACTTTCCTTGACTCCATAATACTGGACTCATACAATATTTGTCCTTCTGTGAAGTAGATTATTTTTAGTTGTTATTTTCATTTAGTTCCTCCTCATTAAAACAGATGTGAATGCTTATTGAGTGACTGAAAGTGTTGGCTCACATCTCTACAGAGCCTCCTTTGTTGACAGGGAGACGTTGGCAAGCGGATGCTCATTACTGGAACTGTGTTAATGTGCCATAGACACAGGTTGTATGTTTCAGAGTGGCCTTCTTGGGATGAAGCAGGAAGGTCTCTAATGGTGAATGTTGCAGGAGGATGTCCGTGGACCTCTTAACTCTAGCCTATTTTGCCTGAAGATTGCCTCATCTGGTGCCATAGAAAAGGAGCTCTGGTGGTGCAGTGACTAAAGGCATTCAGCTGCTAACCAAAAGGTCAGCAATTCAGGCCCACCAGTTGCTCCATGGGAAAAAGACGAGGCAGTTTGCTTCCTTAAAGATTTACAGCCTTGGAAACCCTGTGGGGTCACTATGAGTCAGAATTGAGTAGATGGTAATAGGTTGGGTGCTATAGAGACTCCTTACCTCTGTCTGTGCAGCCTGGTTTGGTCGTTGTAGCTGGCCGGCTGGGGCCAGAACTGCTCCTCCTGGGCTGAGGTCTTTGAGGCTGTGGTAGATGGCAGGGGTGTTGGGGGCTTATCAGCTGCCACTGAAGATGCTCTGGAAATTGGAGGTCGGTGGGGGATTGGGGTTTGGGGGGATGGGTGATGGACTGGAGGGGTCTGGGTCCTTTGATCTGGTGTGGTTGCTGTAGGAGATAGGAAAACGTGACCTTCCATATACACACTGTAGTCTCTAGCAGGATTGAGTCACTATCTCTTTCCCCAACACACTCTTTGTCTGTGTGTGTGTGTGTGTGTGTGTTTTAGGTGCAAATTTACAGAGCAGAATTTGTTTTACATTCAATAGTTAATGTATGTTTGGTTTCACTCCCCATTACCATCCTCTCCTCCATCCACTCTCCTCCTCTCCCTTCCCAGTGACCTCCCCCATCCCTGTGCCCTTCTTTGTTATGCACTGCTGTCTGTCTAGCTTTCCCTCCAAGTGAATGCTACCCCCTCTGGTGCCCCATGGCCGATTGCTCCAAGGGATGTATCTCCATATAGTAGGTGGATGAATCGCCCTGGGTTGGGTGTTCTCTGCATGTAAGTCTTACTACTGTTGGGCTGAGAGCCAGCTCTTGGAACTGAGTTTTATCCCAGGCCCAAAGTGCCTCCCAGGGCCATAGTCTTGGAGGTCCCACCAGACTCCATCCGACCAGTAATTCTGGTCATTATTGCCCAACATACTCTTTTTTCCTTTCACCCAGACCACCTTTGTTCTTACAGTTCTTATGACCTACGATGTTGGTCATATGCCATCAAGTCGGACCCAACTCACACTGACCCCTTGTTGGGTTTCCGAGGCAGTATCACTACAGAAGTAGATCGCCCAACCTTCCTCGGGAGAATTCTTAGACGCATATATGGGAAGTAGTGCCTATGTCAATTAATTATAACTTGCTGAATGATCTCTCACAGTTGGCAGTGGAAACTGTGGACATGGAGAATAGAAACTGTTCATGGACCCCCAACCCCTCAAGTGGCACCCAGGGCATGTGCCGTAACTGGTACACCCCAGATAGGTCTCTGCTTCTTAGCATGTCATCTACACCTAGAAAATTCCTAGCTATATTTGCTTCAAATACCACTTCCTCTAGAAAACCTTCCATAACTTCCCAGGCAGAACAGCTAGCTCTCCCCCATCTCAGCATGGGGCAACCTTGTTTGTAGTTCTATCCAAGTCTGCCTCATGCCATATTTGTGGGGATACATTCTCCCTGTCCCACACCACATACTTTCGGTATAGGATACACTCAATTACACTATCCCTTTTCGTACCCAGGAGGGTCCCCTAGTGCAATATTATTCAATTAATGTATCTGCCTTACATGGTAGATGTAAGGATATGATGGAAATATTGCATGTCAAAATATGTTTGAAAATGAAAAATCATTATAAAACGTAAAGGTATGTATGATCTCCAGTAATCTTTTTACTGCAAAATAATGTTGTTAAAATCACTGAATGCCAAGAGGTAGAAGACAGCTCTGTGATAAGCAGGAGGCATGAGGACCTCAGACTGGTAAGGGCCTATTCATAGGTTTTGATGGTCATTCATAAAGAGCGTGATTTTGTGAATGGAGGACAAATTCCATTACTAGTGGTGCCATCTGGTGGTGATGTTTGAGTTCTGCAAGTGAGGCCTGGTGTCTTGGCTGTAGGATAGGCTTAAAGGAAGATTTGGAAAGCAGATGTCAGGGAAGTACCCTCTCCCCAAACAGGGAAATGCCCAAGACTCAGCTCTGCTTGGCCAGCCACTCAGTGATGCACTCTATCCCCTCACACTGCTCTTCACAATGTCTGCAGCATCTCCCCCTGCCTCTCCCATCCTAGATTTGGTGAACTGACCTTTGGAAATGAATTCAGAAGGACTAGCATCTTCAGGCATCTGGAACCAAGGGGGCATAGGGGCCATCGTCTGGTATAGAAGTTCATCAAACCATCTTGGGGTCTGAGGTACTGGTTCATATTCCCAGAATGGATAAAACTCTATTGGAGGCAAGAGTAAGACAATGGTGGGCTTGAGAGGGGTACTAAGGTCTGGAGAAAGGATTTGTGGTATGAGTTGAAGTTGACTCAGCCAGGGTGCATGGCAGTAAGGGAATGATGGTAGGGCCCACCAAAGGAGCAGAAAAAGAACTGGGCTGGGGCTTCCTTGAAGGAAATATCATCTCCTCCACCCCAGTCAACATTCCCTCCAAAACTAACAGAGGGCACTGGAATTCTAAGCTGTGAGTTAATGTTGCATGTGTGTGGAGATGTCAATGGAACAGAGAAGAAAGGCAAGATTCAGGAAGAGTAAGGAATGGATCAGATCATAAAATAACAACTTTGGCCTTGAAAAGTGCCTTTCCTTATGCTCATCTCCCATATTTCTCATGGGACAATTGTGTAGGATAATTATATTCTTTTGCTTCCAATTTCCTCTGGTCTCAGAGCCTCTCCTGTCTTAACACCCCCCCCCATAGGATGGATAATACAAATAAAGAATTATCTTGCCTCTTTCATGCATTTTGAATAGAAAATTCTGTGAATTGTGAAGTTAATTGATGCTATGAGGTTTCAATTATGTGAAGCCTAATTATTGCATTGGTTAATACGGCAATACCATAAGAGTCTGGGGAACTGTTATAGCCAGATGATTGTCACAACCTCCCCAGGTGGAAATGTTTTCTGCATGAACTGAGCCTCCAGTCAGCTAGGATACCTACCACTGATGCTCAGGGTGATTTGCTGGGTCTTGCCAAGGTCTGTTTTCATGCCCACCCCACAGGCATAGACTCCGCTGTCATTCTCAGTCATCTCTTTCATCTCTACTAGGAACAAATGCCTGTCTGGGCACAGCTTCAGTTTGACTCGACCTTCATATTCTTTCTTGACAAAGTGGCCATTAGACACCACAGTGGTACATGCTCCAGATCCAGCCATCTCCCGGCACAGATAAATCCTTGTATGTGTTTTAGGCAGTGGGCATTCAAAGGTAATGGATCCACCTAGCTCTCCTTCCAGATTGACTACTGGGAGGACTTTCAGAGCTCCAAATACTGCAGGGAGAGGAGGTTAATGCAGAGGAAACTCCATCCCCAACTATTGCCCCAATCCCAACCACATCCCCAACTCCAGTCCTAAATCCAACCCTAGCCCTGGTCCCAGCACAGCTTCACTCTCATCTCCAGTCCAGTCCCAGTCCCATCTCCTCTATTAGCCATTATCAGCCAGCCCTTAGCCAGCCATCCCTCAGCCTCAGCCCTATGCTGGCCTCTAGCCTTAGCCTCATTCTCAGCTTTTTCCTACCCAACCCTATGCACAACCTCCGTTCAGCTCTATATCCAACTATAGCCCTGTGCCCAGTCCCAGCCTCATCACCAAACCCAACCCCAAGCCCGTAATGACCCAGACACCAAAACCCTGAGAATATAGTCATAACTACTCCTTCCACGGGCAGGTGCTGTGACATGGATGACCTCAAACAGCACATAACCCCCAAGTGACCTCAGTGTGATGTTGAGAGGTGTAGTGTGGCTATGCTACAACAGGTTGTCCTTTCTAGTTTTGTTTTCTTCAGGTCCCTGCGTGGTGCAAACAGTTTGCTTTCAGCTACTAACCAAAAGATTAGCAGTTCAAAGCCCTCCAGTAGCACCTCAGAAGAAAGACCTGGCAATCTACTTCTGTATGACTACAGCCATTATAAACCCTATGGAGCTCAGTTCTACTACAAAACATGTGGGGTCACTGTAAGTCAGAATAGGCAATAGGCAGACCCATCCACTCAACCATTCACCCACAGCTATATTTATTAAATCATCTGTTGTTGTTGTTGTTACGTGCCGTCGAGTCAGCCCTGATTCATAGTGACCCCTCCTTGGGTTTCCAAGGCAATATCACTACAGAAGTAGGATTGCCCAACCTTACTTCCAGGAGTGGCTGGCAGGTTTGAACTGCCAGCCTTCTGGTTAGCAGTCAAGTGCCTTAGGCACTATGCTACCAGAGCTCCTATTAAATCATCTAGCTAGTATTTATTGAATTTCTTTCATGTCACAGTTGGATAGCCAGCATCACTATCATTTAGTGGGTGAGGCAGACAATTAGGCAGCACAGTGTCATAAATCCCCTGACAGAGATCGCACAGGGCTGCTTGGAAGCGCCAAGCAGGACACCTGCACCAGACTGTTGCATAGTTTGAGGCAGGCTTCTGGAAGAAATGAAGTGTTAAGTTTTGACTTGAAGAATCGGGCATGGAGGGCAGTGGAGAGACATAGGGGACATAGATGGGAAAGCAAGTGTGAGAGTGTGTGCATGTTGTATGTGTGTTGGGAGGGATGGGAGTGCTGAATGATCTCTCATAGCTGTCAATAGAAACTGCAGCTCATCAGTCTTTGTCATAAACAAGCGTATGTTGTAGCGGAGAGAAGACAGGTCTAATGCAGTTGAACCAGCTAGAGAAGAGGGTAAGGCTGTGTAAGATTGCCCACTATGGTAAGTGGGTCCCAGGAAGTGTCTGCATATTTCTGGAAGAGGGTTCATAGAGTGGGCATGTCCTTTGGGGTGGGGCTGGGGGTTGGGTGGAGGAGGAGAAAGTCTTCCAGACTGTGAGAACAGCCCCTATAAAGGCCCATTGTGAATGAGAGCTTGGTATGTTCATGGAGCAGAGAAGTTCACACAACTCCTGAAATTCATCCACAGACCACACACTAAGAGTTTAGTTAAAAAGGGAGAATCAAGGAAAGCTTCAGGAAAGAGACAGGGCTTCTGGACAAGCAGATAGGTCTGAGGAGGTCATTCCAGTAGAGGAAAAAATAAGGTAGAAGCAAACATGGGAGCATGGGATGGAGGTTAAAATGGTAGGACAGGGGCTGGGAAGGAAGTATTTATAGCAGCATGTTTAGAGAGAGAGGCAGGGAGGCAGCCAGAAACATAAGATCTAGTGTGGACACCCTCATGGGAATAGCCCCCCACTGTTCTAAATCTGCTCAAAACAGAGACATGGTGAGATAGCTTTAGGATTGGAATATGATGATGGAAGGGTGACTTTGTGCAAAGGGTAAGACCCAGTATAAGGGGTGGGGGAATTCCTCTGTGCCTCCAGAATGCTCACACTCATGTGTGTATAAAGCCCAGCACCTGAGGGGAGAAGTACAGGAACATTTTTGGCTGAGAATGACCCAGCCAGAAGAGGGACATGAATGCTGCCTCCCCAATAATAGAAGATCATAAAATGAGCAGAGACATGGTACAACAGAGGTTGGTCATTGCTCATGCAGACACATTCAGTGGCCTCCTTCCACTCAAGGTTGGGCTTCTGCTAAGTCCCAGACTTGCTCAAATGCTGGAGGTGAACCATTAAGAGAGCTGCTGAGTATATTGAGTTCTGATCAACAAGGGAGCACTAGTTGGTGACGTGAAATGACCAGAATCTCAGGAAAAAATAACCACGTTTCCTTAGAGTTCATAATAGCTACTAACATACATCCAAACTTTGAAAGGCAGATTTCCAAAACTAATCATCTAAACAAATTCTAATCTCCTGGTTAGAATTCTAAAATAGCACAGTGTGCCTAAGAGTCATCTGGGGTGAAATTACCAAGATGCAGATGACCTGGTCCTACCCTGAGGTATGGTGATTACATCTGTCTAGAAGGAAGGTTGGGCAATCCTACTTCCGTAGTGATACTGCCTCAGAAACCCAAGGAGGGGTCGCTATGAGTCGACTGGAGGGCACATAACAACAACAACAGGGTAGAGCCCAGGGATTTGCATTTAAAAGATGTGTTCCAGGTGTCTTTGCATTTCTACAATTCTAGGCTACATAGCCACATTGACAAAAGATTCTGTGGAAGAAAGGGAGGAGTAGAAGGTATCTAAAGAAATAACCTGTTTGATATTAATATTGTAAAGAGGCTTTTGAGTGACATTAATCTCTAAATTGGTGGCTTGACTTTCAATGATAATGGAAGGGGAGGGGGAGATAAACCCATGGCCACTGAGTTGATTTTGACTTATAGCAACCCCACAGGGCGGAGTAGAACTGCCCCATAGGGTTTCCAAGGCTATAAATCTTTATGGAAGCAGACTGCCTCATCTACCTCCCGTGGAGTGGCTGAAGGGTTTGAATCTTTGACCTTTTTGTCAGCAGATAACTGTTTTAACCTCTGTACCACCAGAGGTCCTTGAGAAGGGGATAGATGGCTTAAAAATCACTCTCAATTGAGGGTGCCCAAGACCATGTACAGGGTTGGCAGACAATGTTTCTATAAGTGTATTTGTGTACTACAACCTTGTCCCTTGCCTGCTCTACCATATACCTGGGAATTCTTACCAAACCTTTTTTGTTTTGGTTTGGTAAGAATTCCCAGGTATATAGTAGAGTTGACAAGGAACAAAGTTGTAGTCATTTCTTGGCCACAGCCAGCTACCCAGAGGGAGTGAGTAGTTGGACCTATGGGCTTGGGACCATGGTCACAGGGGACAACAAGCTCAACTGGTATAACATACTACACAAAAACATTATTCCACATCCTACTTTGGTGAGTAGTGACTGGGATCTTAAAAGCTTGCAAGCAGCCATCTAGAAGCAATGATGGGTCTCTCCTCATCCAGAGCAAAGAAGAATGAAGAAAACCAAAGATACATGGAAACAATTAGTCCAAGTGACTGGTACACCATGCAATTCTCAGCCTATATGACTATGAGACCAGAAGAACTAGATGGCTCCTGGCTACCACTGTCAACCACTCAGAGGGGGATCTATGTAGGAAATCCTGGATAGAATGGGAGAATAATGTGGAATAAAACTCAAAATCATTTAAAAAAGAAAAAAAAAAAAAAGAACTACTAGGTTTGCTAATCTGATAGAGCCTGATGGAACTACTGAGACTGTGGCCCCTAGCTGCCCTTCAGGTCTGGAACTGAGCCCATTCCTGTGGCTTCCAGCCAAACAAAAGACAGACATATGAGCTGAACATTTACATTAGGTAGATACACTCCTTGGAGAGATCAATCATGGGAGAATAGAAGGGCTGTGTATGCACAGGGAGACAGTTCAGGGGTCAGGAGTGCATGGGAAGGAAGAACACAGGGAAGAGGTAACTATGGGGAAGAAGTGAGAGGGGAGCTGTTGTACTGTGGGAAGTTGTAGTCAATGTCATGAGACAAAGTGTATGTGAGCTGCTGTATGAAAAGTGAATTTTCTCTGTAAACTTTCACCCAAATCACAATAAAAATTTTTTTAAAAATCACTCTTAATTGATAATATAGTGTAAATATATGTGTGAAACATGGGGAAAACTCTATAATTTTCATAAAACAAAATAAAATAAAATTTCATAAGGTCTAGACTGGTGGGGATGCTCTGAAGACAGATGTTGGCTTCTGAGTAATTGAAGGAGGGAGTAGTGATGAGGAACTGACCAATTCAAGTCACAGCAGAATCTTGGCAAGTGAAGAGCTGGCCTGAGATTTTTATATTTATCAAAAGGGCCATGGTCTACAGCTTGTGCTACATATACTGGGCTTGGGGGACTATGTCTGCCCCTTACATTTGCAGAATCAGGGTAAGAATACAAATGAAAGCCCAAACACCCTATGTGTAAATATTTTAAAGTTATAGAAAAAGCTAGCAAAATGTTGAATAAAATATGTTCTATTCCTCTAACCTGACAAATTCACATACTTCTTGCATGACCACTGGAGAAAACTGGTCCTAGACTTCCTGCTCCCAGCTTCTGGTCTACCTTCATTTTCTCCCCACCTATACAGGGCCGACTCGATGGCATATAACAACAACAACAACAATACATGATGAACATCTATACATGATGAACATCCCAGCTTATATATACAAGCTCCATCAGTACCCTATGTCTTCCCAAACAGCCATGTGTGGTCATCCCTTTACAGACTTAGGGGTCACCCTCAAGAATGAGACCTAGGATAGAGGCTTGTACAGTTATTGGAAGTAGTGCTGAAGTCATTGCAACAGGAAAGTCTGGACTAGAAGAGGGAGTGTGGGCTGATGAACTCCTCACCCTGTGGGGATAAGCATGACTGAAAAAAAAAAAAAAAACTAGTGTACTCTGAAGTATAGGGGCCCAAACAAAGACTCCTCTGGCCCAGAGAGAACAGCGGTACTGCTCAGGACAGACTGTTTTTGTTAGGTGCCATCAAGCGGATTCCGACGCACAGTGACCTTATGATTAACAGAATGAAATGTTGCCCAGCCTATGTCATCTTCATGGTTGTATGTAAGGCTGAGATTGTACAGCTTGAGGTCCCCTTCCCTCTTACAGATCTTCCATTCTCCCACTCAACTTTTCTTCCCAGGCCTAAGCTTAATCAACCATCCACTGTGCCCATGATCTCACACTGCCTCTCACGGTGTCTGAGATTTCATTAAATCGCCACTCCTTTAGGCTTTTCAATCTCTCACTCACAAATATTTATTGAGTTTTTTCCATATTCAAGACACCACAGAGAAAGGAAATATGAATAAGAAACTATTTGAACCTTCAAGGATCTTACTATTAAATAACCAAAAGAAGATAGATAAACATCAACATACACTGCAAAGCAGAATGTGATCAGCCTTTGGGGTTCAGAACATAGAGCTCAGGAAAGTCTACAAGAAGAAGGAGTTTGAGATGGTCTTTGAAGGACCTATCAAAGGCAGAAGTGAGAAGAAAGATGTTCCTGAAAGAAGAACTAACATGAGCAGAGCATGGTGGCTCAGAGTATGTTCAAGGAGAAGTCCTGTTTTATTGGAGGTTAGAAAGTGCAGGGAAGTGTGGTAAGCTTAGAGTATTTAAAAAAAAAAAAAAGTTGCAAAGAAGGAGTTTGTATTTAATTCACTAAGCAGTGGAGCCTTACAAGTTTTGGGGAAGGACAATCCTATGTTTAGAATAAATACTTGTTGTTGTTGTTGTTGTTGTTATGTGCCGTTGAGTCGGACCCAACTCATAGTGACCCTTCCTTGTGTTTCTGAGGAGGTATCACTACAGAAGTAGATTGCCCATCCTTCCTTCTGAGGAGTGGCTGGTGGGTTTGAACCGCCAGCCTTCTGGTTAGCAGTCAAATGCCTTAGGCACTATGTTACCAGAGCACCTAGAATAAAGATTTAGGGAACTTAATCTTTAAGGTTAATCATGTAAGTGGAGTTGAAGGAAGTAGGAAATATAGTTAAAAGAAGATTGTATGTTCTTTTCCTTGCCAATCCCTCTGCTTCCTTTCTAGTAGAGGCTAGATTGCTTCTCATCCTGATAATTGTGGATCTAGAAATTATATTCACCACCACCAATTACCACGGGGTTGATTCTGACTCAAGGCAACCCCATGTGTGTCGGAGCATAACTGTCCTCCATCGGGTTTTTAATGGCTGAATTTTCTGAAGTAGATGGTCAGGACTTTCTTCAAAAGCACCTCCAGGTTAAAAAATCAACTGTTTACACTACCCCAGGCCTCCAGGTATGTCTGATCCAAACCATGGTGTTTTCAATCATCTTACATGCAAATATTTGCTAGTGAAAAAGGAACACATAAGAAGAGTGGATGCATTCGAACTGTGGTATTGGTAAAGAATACTGAATATACCATGGACTGCGAAAAGAATGAACAGATCATTCTTAGAAGAAATACAATCAGAATATTCCTAGAAGGGAGGATGACAAGACTTCTACTCACTTACTTTGGACATATCATCAAGAAAGAACAATCTCTAGAAAAGGACATCATGTTCAGGAAAGTAGAGAATTAGCAGAAATGAGATGATTTCTCTATGAATTGGATTGACACAATTGCCACAACAATGGACTCAAACATATAAACAACCAGGAAGATGGTGGAGGACCAGGCACCATTTATTCTGTTACGCATAAGGTTCCATGTGTCGGAGCTGAGTCAGTGGTAACTTACAATAATATAACAGAAACTATATTAATTGGCCAATTATTAGCTCAAGATCAGGATGGGAATAAATGAAAAGAGGTGTTTAACACCCATTCTGGCATTTTGAGGCTATTGTCAGAAACAGTTAAGATGGATGGAATAGCTGGTTTGGATGGTGATCAAGGAGAAGCCTGAGTTAAAATGTTGGGAATGTTGCATTTTGGATTTTGGTGGAATATTGAAGTGTGAGTGCCCAGGAATCAGTTCCATTTCCTAAGATATGGAACTCAGGAAATAGAGTAGGACTACAGAATGTAGTAGGGAGTTTTCACTTAGAATTGAAAGTTGAAAATTCAGGCGTGGAAGAGATCCAAAGAAAAATAATGCAGAGCTAAGAAGAAAGAACTTTGGAGACACCTGTGACAAGATCCAATGTTAATATAGGCTAGTATGTCTGGGAGAGGTGATGCTTTCAGATTTTATGAGTTCATACCTGACCCGAAGAGAAGTGTCTGGAAGGAAGCAAGGAGCACTGGCCGAGCATGGGTAGGACCTCGACCTTTGCCCTACCCTAGGGACTGGCTTGCCACTGAATCTGTCCAGAAACACCTGAGCTGAGAATGCCCAGCAACCCCAATACTTGTGGCCAAGGTAAACTTCATAAGAAGTCTGAGGAAGATGTGTCCCCATACAACTTACCTGGCAGGAAGTAAAGCGACAAAAGCCAGAGGTTCATGGCTCCTTCTTGAACGAGATCCCATCCGAGAGCCTCTGGAGAGGGAGGCAGAGACCCACTGCTCACTGTGGAGCCTTTCAAGATCTGAAAGAGTTTTCTGGCCCCCACAAAGAGTGAGGCTTGAAAATGAGGAAATGACACCTGTGTTGTTTGCTAACTTGCCTTATGCTAAAAAGAAAATACCAGCAGACCACAACGGAAGTCAGCAATTGAGAAAACATGTGTTAAGTGAAGATGGGTCACCAAAGTTCAAAGGTCCCCAGACAGATTCTTAAGACTCTTAGCAACTACCAGGCATGATATATCCTTGTTTTTGTCTTGGGGGAGGGGGGGCTCTTATGCCTTAGCTTTATTTGTAGGAGCCAGAGTCATTTACTTTATCCCTGTCTTCAGGATAAAAGAGCCCTCTTATCAATTTCTCCCCATTTGAGGAAAGAAGCTTGGGCCTTAAGTCAGAAGATGCTGGTTGTAGTCCTTAAAAGAAGAATAAAGAAAAACTTACTGCCATCAACTCGATTCTGAGTCATGGCGGCCCCATGTGTTACAAGGTAGAGCTGCTTTTTGGTTGTAATCTTCACAGAAGCAGTTCTCCAGGCCTTTCTTTTCAGGCACCACTGGGTAGATTTGAACCACTAACCTTTAGGTTAGTAGCTGACCATAAAGTGTTTGTGCCTACTAGCAACCTGTTGTAGTTCATGACTAGTCATCAATTAACTCATTTGACAAATATTTTGAGAACCTACTATATGGACATACTAACTACTAACAATTCACTATCTTTCTCTGAGCCTTGATTTCACCTGTAAAATTAAAACCAAGACTATTGTTGTTGTATGCCATCGAGTCAGACCCAACTCATAGAACTCCTCCTTGGGTTTCTGAAGCAGTATCACTACAGAAGTAGATTGCCTCATCTTCCTTCCAAGGAGTGGCTGGTGGGTTTGAACCACCAGACTTCTGGTTAGCAGTCAGGTGTTCTGCTACCAGAACTCCCAAAGGTGAGACTAGATTCCTGGAATTCCATCCATCATTCCTGAGGTCTTCCCACAGCTCGCCTGCACCTCAGCTCAGCCATCCTTCTTCTCCTCCAATCACCTCCATAAGGCACTGCCTACTTTGTGGGGGACCAGGCCCCTGTCCAGTGCACACTAGGGCAATGCCTGCATCAGGGTGTGACAGGCTACATGGCAAATTGGCCTAAAGTCACAGCAGTCGGCAGAGTGATTTTTCATGATACGGAGGGTTCAAGGGTGAGGCCCAGTGAGCCATGGGGAAGAGAGAGACGCAGAGGCAAGTGACAAGATATGCTGGAAAGACCTGGCTTCTAGTCCTGCCTTAGAACTTCTAAATTTAAGCAAACCTTTCTTGGCCTCAGTATTTTTTATTTATAAAGTAGGCATGATTCCTGCCCTGCCAATGTCACATGGCTTTCATGAAGTTAAGGAAAAATCATGGACAGGGAAGTGCTTTAAGAGCTGTTTCGCTAGGAAACGTGCAAGGTTATTACTTATAGGGAGGATCCCCAGGTGTCATTCTTGGTGTTACAAAGTACGTGGGTTCTCAGGCCCTGTCCCCAGGCACTACAGTCTCTTGTGCCCACAGAAGATTTATACTATGTTTGCAGGGGTGTGTGTGTATGTGTGGGTGGGTGACACTCTCTAGGTTCCTTAGGGTCCCATGAAGCCCCCTCCCTGCTCACCCACGCACTCTAGATTTATCACATGCTCTCCAGAATGAGAAACAACAACATCCGCAATGGAAGTCAAATGTGAGGCTCAGAACAGGTGCAGAGGAAGCGCGTGGGGGGCAGGCAGCCTGCCTTGCCCCACCCCTCTCTGGGTCTCTGTGTGCAGAGCAGCTGTGGCGGTGATTTCCTCTAGCCACCTCTTGAGCCAAGATTTCAGAGAGCAGGTATGGGCCTCTGGTTAGAGTGCCAGAGGACTTGACTAAGATCAGCCTCTGTCCTTCCCTTCTTAGAGGGCTCTTCCCAATCTCCTACAGTTGTGACACATCTGGACTCTGATCCCCTTAGCTTGAGGCTTTGTATTGCCCTAAAGAGACTGATAGAGAAAGACTGTGGTGTGTATGTGACTATGAGTGTGTGATGTGTGGTGTGTGTGTGATGTATAAGTGTGTGGTGTGTGATTATGAATGTGTGTGATGTGTGATGTGATGTGTGAGTGTCTACTGTGTGATATGTAAGTGTATGTTGTATCTTTGTGTGTAAAGGTATGCTGTGTATGTGTTGGTTGAGTGTGTGATGTGTAGAGTGAGATTGTGAATGTGTGTGATGTGTGGATGCATCGAGTGTGTGACGTTGACTGACTGTAACTGTGAGTGTGTATGTATACAACTGTATGTATGTGTGTGGTTGTATAACTGTGAGTGTATGTATACACAACTGTGAGTGTAGGTGTGCAGTGTGTGTGAATGTGCATTTTTGGTGTGTGACATTGTGTGTGTGTACAACTGTAAGTGTGCATGTGTGGTGTGTGGCTGAATGTGCACATGTGGTATGTGACTATGAGTGTGCATTTGTGCTATGTGACTGAGTGTGCATGGGTGTTGTGTGACTGTGAGTGTGTGTGTGTGTCTATATAGATTAGGTGCTGGCTGCACTGCTGCTGGGGCTGCCCAACAATGCTGAAGTGTGTGAAATGAAAGCAGGAGAGATTTTTTCATATCAGGAAGGACCCAAATGAAACCATTCAACACACCACATTGGGTTGACAGGAGCTAGCACTAATGTCGGCAAACTACCTGGAAGGAAGAGAATGTTTGGAATTTGAGGGGATCAAAGCTCCTAGACAAGATCTATCGATATCTACCTTCAGTGATTTCCCCAAGGATTGGCACAACAGTGGTTGTGGCTGAAGGGAAGACTGACTCCTGGCTAAATTGTGAAATGGAAAACAGTGATTGACCTTATTCTTTCTTCTCTTTCTTTCCCCCCTCTGTATTTTGTTTCCCCTTTCTGACTCACAGTGCTACTGTATTGCCTTGGTGTTCCTATTTCCAGGAGAAAATCTGATAAGCTAAGGGACATAAGCTAAGAGTGTAGGACTCAATGCCTACATCATTCTCAGGGCCATTTGCTCTGAGGCAATGCTTAACCAGAAGGAGTGAACCTGATGGAAAGAAATCAGAGCCCATGACAGGCAAATAGAGGGAACAAATAATACCAGATAACCCAGGAACTAAATCTTTTGGGTTTGTTCACTTAACCTCCATAATAATCTTTTAACCAAAGTTTTATTATTTCCTATGTTACAGATAGGGGTAAGAAGAGTACTTCTCATAAGATTGTGAGGACTGTATGAGGTAAACATTACAAGGGACTCAGCACATTGCCTGGATGCAGTAGGAGTGCAGTAGAGATAAGCCATCACCATCAGGGTCCTGCTTAGTCATTGCATCACCCTATTTGTACCTCCTACATGATCAGGCTTGGAAAGGCCATCTCCTGGGCCTTTCCAAATGAAGTAACTCAATTCCAGGTGGCCTTCTCCATGACTTCAGACAGACCATAACAATGCCTCTTGCCTGCTGGGTACAGGTACCTGGCTCAGAAATCCTGTAGTTCCCTATTTCCAAGAACTAGTACCACAGACATGTCTGTCTCAGAGAAAGCCATTCCATAGGAACAGGGCTTTGGAAATGTTAATCTTTACCATAAGCCTACTCAAGACATTTATCTATAAGAAATGGTAGAATTTGGGGGAGTAAATTTCCTTGGAGTAAATTTCCTTGGTGATGCCAATGTTCAGTGCTTGACCACTGGCTGGAGGTTGGCCGTTAGAACCCATCTAGAGGTACGTTGGAAGACAGGCCTAGTGATCTGTGTCTGAAAGGTCACAGCCTTGAAAACCCTGTGGGGCAGTTCTCCTCTGCACACACTGAGTCTCCATGAGACAGAATTTACTCAATGGCGACTAACAACAACAGCAAGATTTTTTTTTTTCTGGAATATGGTTATATTCCTGTTGATATTCTAAGGTTAGAACCCCCAAAACCCTGGGGTTTAGAGTATTTACTCCCCCATATCTAGGACAAAGAATTTTGGTTCTAGTGAGGGTGGGATGGCTATCTTTTTTTTTCTTTATCAGCCTTAGGAGGGCAACTCTAGAACTTGATTCACCCGGCTGGACCCTCTTCTCTTCATTCCTGCTTCAGCACCCTGGACAGGTGAATGCCATTGGTCTTACATAGCCTTACCTCTTTTCTCTTGGTATTCCACTGTCTACTAATATATTTAGTCTTTTTTTTTTTTTCTTCTTTACTTTTATTGTGAAAACATACACAAAAAGACATTTGCCAACATAACAATTTCCAATTTTACTTCAGGGACATTGATGTCATTTTTCATTTTGTGCCACAATTGTAGCTATGCTTTTCCAAAATATTCCACCACCATTAGCATAAACTCAACACCCCACAAACAAAAGCTTCCCCTTTTCTCCTACCCCTGATAACCACAAATAATCTTTGGTTTCTCTATCTCTATCTCTATCTATCTATCTATCTATCTCCATTAAAAAAGAAAAAAACAAAACAAAACACCTCACTGCCATCGAGTCAATTGCAACTCATAGCAACCCCTTCTTGGGTTTCTGAGGCAGTATGTCTATGGAAGTAGATTGCCCAATCTTCCTTCTGAGGAGTGGCTGGTGGGTTTGAACCATCAGCCTTCTGGTTACAGTCAAATGCCTTAGGCACTAC